TGCCCGCGGGCACTGGCACAGCAGCCTGGCACCCAGGGGACACCGGGCTGCAGGGAACATCCCCAGGGTGGCCACAGCTTCGGGGAGACGTGGCGGGGCCCCTGGTTCTCCCTGTGTGTGGCGGATTGGAGTGCCGGGAACAGGCTGTCACAGCCCAGCCCAGCCCCGTGCATGTCTGCACAGGAAATGTTTGATTACTGCTTCATTCATCTCCTCTGCTGCCGCTGCAAAAGGGGACGCTGTTCCTGTGGCTTTCTCAGCAGCTTGGGACCTTGTGCTGGCCAGATCCAAGCCCAATTCCTATTTTTTCCTTGGGGGAGCCCCACTGAAAGCAGTGGTCGCTCAAGAAGAGGACGATGGCTCGCAGCTCGATCCAGGCATGCAGCAGCAATGACCTTGGCTAGGTAACCATCTCCTGAATACAAAGATAGATATAAAAGCAGCAATCCCTTTTTAAAAAAAAAATCACCCAGTCCTCTGCTAAGGTAGGGAAAGGCAGTGGTTTGTTAAATAAATGCGTCTGTCAGGGCTGGATTTCTTTCCCAGCTTCCCTAAATGCCCTTCACCAGCAGAGAGGGGGAGGGGACCTGCTCTTTGAAGCCTTTTCCTTATGGGAATAGAAAACACGGAAAGAATTCAATTCTCTGCCACAGCCCAGCAGCACTGATCCACACTTCAAACCCCAAAGCCCGGGAGCCCGGCGGGCTGGTGGGTGCTTGGAGCCTGCAGTACCACAGATTTGCCTTGTTCGATATCCAGCATCATTAAGTGTCCCCCGTGGTGTTAAAGCACAGAAAAAGGGGCAGGAATGGAGACTGGGGAAGAAAAATTAGGAAATTCTGTGCAGAAAGAACTGCGGTTATCCAAATCTTTGATCAAAGCACCACCTAGTGAAGAACAGGCTCCTTGCAGCTGGCAGCGCTCTGGGCAGCTGCACCAACATTCGCCTTTCCCCGCAAGTTTGCTGCTAAAAACCCCCAAATATCACCCAAATATGCACAGCCCGTGCTGGACCTGAACCAACAGGAACATGCCCCAAAAATTGCCCTCTCCTTAAATCTTTCTGAGTGGAAAGGCGTTCCTCTGCTCCCCTCATCTCCCACCAGAGAACCTCAGCCCCCCTGAAACCCGCAGGGAACGAGGCACCACAGGAAGAGAAGGATTTCCATGTTGCAGTTTGGGAGCTAAGGAAAAGAAAAGGTAAGTGAGCGGTCCAAGGTCGTGCAGGAAGCCGGAGGCAGATCCGGGAATAGAGATCAGCCACCCTGGACCCAGGGATGCCTGAACAATAGCACAGCCTCTCCCTCTGCTGTCATTTAACTCCTTCCTGACCCACCAAAACCCAGAGAGGGGTGGGCTCTCACTCCTCTGCAGATGTGCCTGCGCCTTTACAGCTCTTGGGGGCCCAGCCCTCAGCCCGTACCTGCTTCTCCCCCTCCAAACCAAGAAGTAAAGGCAGTAGGGAAGGACAGGGCTGGAGATCCTGAGAGCAGTGAAGCTGCAGGTAGGAAATACTTCTATACAGTTGGCCTGAGCTGTCCTCTCATCAATTAAAACAACCACAATTAGCATCTGTTTATGGGAATGGTACTTCAGCTTTGCCATTTCTGTGTGTGACAAAACATCACTCTCTCCCCTGGAAGCTTCAGCTCCATTAAAGTGGTGGTGGGGATCTTCAGCTGCAGGAGGAGAGGATATTGCTGCCTCTCCCTCTTCCCCAGCTCTTGGGTTATCTGCAAGGATTGGGGATTTGCAGCACGATCACACATCAGAAATGCAGTTTCACTAAGTCTACACTGTTCTCACACTGAGCTGGGAAATGCTGCAGTGCAGGCTCTGGAGGAGACAGTAATTACAAACAAACCTTAGAGAAAATAGCTGGAAAAGAAATATAATACTCAGGTGGTGGAAAAAACCTGAACTGCAATGAACTGAACCTGCAGCAAAATTCTCCCAGAGATGAGAGCTGAGAGAAATAGTGACCAAGTACCCAGAAAGAGTTCTCTGAAAGGAGTTTGATGTCCTTGAGTCAGAGCCCAGTTCCAAACCAGAACTATAACTGAGGCAAAAGTTAAGACCATCTTCTTGGGTCACTGTCTGGAAGGGAAATCTGCAAACAGCTGCAGGGGCAAAGAACTGGAAAAGCCCTGAGAAGCCCTTATTTTTCTGTTTTCCATCCTGGTCTGGTGTTTTTTCCCCCTACCACCCTAGAATGTTTTCATTGACTCCAGTTATGGGAGCAAGGAGGAGAGTACGAGAGTCTGCACCCTTGTATGAAAGGCTGAGACGAGAAAATCTTTAATCCTGCCACAGCCCTTTGAACATTGACATCTTCCAGCCACAGGCACTGTGAAACTGGGAGCTCTCAGTACAATCTAGTTCAAGGATGTTTTCCCTGGGGAAGGGTTTTGTTACCCTGTGGGGATTTTTGCCCAGATCTTTGCTTTTAGGGTAAGCAAAGCTCTTCTTACAGAAAGAAGCTACATCTTATACTCCTTGGTGGGGGGGAAAAAAGTTATAAATAAGAGCCCAAAGGAGCTAGGGCACAAAACTGCTGCCCTAGAGATTAGGGTTAAAAGGCTGCAGATCTGCACTGAGTGATTGCAGTAAAGCAAATGTCACTAAACAAAAGTGCAAACTCAAATGCTTGAGTTTGGAGATTTTTTTTCTTCTCTCCTGCTCAAGAAAGAGCTCCTGCACTGCAAGAGGGCTGCCACAGAACAGCAGGATGTTTGTCAAGGAAGTGTTAACATGCTCAAAGGATTCCAGCCCTCTGCAGCTGTGGCCTGACAAAATGAGAGAGAAAAGAGATTTGAGTGCAAATAAAAACAACAAGCATAGTTTTAGATTATGCCAACATTTACCAGTTGGGGCTTGCACAGTCTGCAAACCAGTCCTGGATTTGGGGGAGAGCCTTCACTAATGGTTCTGAGAACAAAGACATTTGACATCAGTAAATCATTTAATCCCAGTGCATGATGTGTCAATGAGCAGCTTTCAATCAGAGGGGAATTTCTTGCTAATTACATTAGATTAACCTAAGAAAATGGAATCCCAATCAAAGCAACAAAGTCAAGCTTTACTTCACTGACTTTTCCTCTCCAGCTGCAGCTCCAGTCTGAGCCTTTGCTGTGTGGCTTGCTGGGCACTTGGTTTCAATCAACTCTGCCAGCATCTGCCAGTCTGGGGAGAGAGAATTCCTGTTAAAATTAACACCTGGGAGATCCCAGGTGAATCACCAGAGCAGCTTGGGCAGAGCTCTCAGCTCACTGCTGTCCTGTGCATTAAGCTCCAGCTCCTGCTGCCCCACTTGGGTGGCAAAGAAGGACTGAAATGGCTTTTTCCAGCTCTGGTTTTCAGGAGATTGAACCAACCACAGCTCCCAGTAAGGCTGCCATGACATAAACTAACTTCTTCTGGGTTTTATTTTTCGATTTAATTTGTGTAAATAAAATTATTGATTCTTCAATTTCATTACATATTGTCCCTGAAGTCAAAAAATGCATTATCATCTTCCTTTCAGACAGTAATTTTTAGGAAGATTTTGAATTATTTTCTCATTTTTTTTCCCTGAAATATTGATCCTTTACTAATAATGAACCAGCACTGAAGCTTTGAATTAATTTCAGTGTTTTCCCTATTAGAAGAGAGAAGCAGAAAAAAGTTACCATAAAAATGGATGATTTTTTACCATCTTTCAAAGAACTGCTGCAAAAAGCTGTCCTTTATCACGCTGCTGTCCACAGTGAAAGACCTCTGGGATGAACTTGGAAACATTTCAGTATCTCTGCTCTGTAAATGTCCCTTCTGCTCACAAAAACCTTCACTAAGAGGAACTCCCTGTGCCTTTCCTTCCTCAGGGCAAGAGTTCTGACACTTTTGGACTTTGGGATCACTGGAGCCAGGTTTGTGCCACAGCCTGGCAACGCCCCAAGGCCCTTTTCAGTGCCAGGGGATTTAAATCTGCACAGCCTGCAGCTCATCCGGGCCCCATTTCTGCACAGAGCTCTTGGAAAATCAGAGAAATCTGGGGTTTTTTTTTCCTCATCGTGTATTTGGAAGAGATTCTGCAAAAATGTCTCTTTTCTCCTAAAGGAATTTACTGCTCTTGCTCAGAGTCACGCCTTGCACAGTCCTGTCCTGTGCCAGTGTCACTCTCAGGATGGATTTTGGGATTTTCCGGTGCCAGTGTCACTCTCAGAGTTGGATTTTGGGGGTGTCCTGCGCCAGTGTCACTCTCAGAGTTGGATTTTGGGGGTGTCCTGTGCCAGTGTCACTCTCAGGGTGGGATTTTGGGGATGTCCTGTGCCAGTGTCACTCTCAGGGTGGGATTTTGGGGATGTCCTGTGCCAATATCACTCTCAGGGTGGGATTTTGGGGATGTCCTGTGCCAGTGTCACTCTCAGGGTGGGATTTTGGGGGTGTCCTGTGCCAGTGTCACTCTCAGAGTTGGATTTTGGGGGTGTCCTGTGCAGGGTCAGGAGTCGGTGACCCCTCCAACCGAGCTTTTTCTGTGATTGTTTCTGACTTTCAGCTTTCTCATGTGGAGAGACCAAAGAGGACAGAATTCCGTGGGTGTAACCAGCAATGAGCAGTGACCACTGCTGGCAATTCTGGGAGGGCTCAGAACAGACCAGGAGGGACCCAGCAATGGCACAGGAGGAATGGGCAGGAGCTGATGCCCGGGAGGTTCCACCTGGACATGAGAAGAAATTTCCCCGAGCTCTGAGCAGAGGCTGAGCCTCCCTCCCTCCATGGGGCTACTCCAGCGCTGCCGGCATGCAATCCCGTGCCGCGCTCTGGGACGGCCCTGCTGAGCAGGAAGGCTAAAACCACACCTCACAGTCCCTCCCAGCCTGACCCCTTCGGGATTTTGGGATTCTGAGCCTGAGGGCGATGCCCACACTGGGGGGAACCGCGAGAGGGCGGAACCTCTGCTTGGCATCGCCGCTCTCCGGCCGGGTGGCACAGGTGGGAGGACTGGTGAGGGCAGCTGTACTCCGGAAGCAACTTCCGGTTGGCGACACTAAGGAGCAGAGTGCGGGCGGAAATGCCCCGGGCCCACTTCCGGTGGTGGCCATGGTGACGGCGGCGGCGGCGGCCAGGTGGGGACAGAGGGGACAGGGAGGGACAGGAGGGACAGGAGGGGACAGGGAGGGACAGAGAGGGACACCCGGGAGGGGCCGGGCGCTGCGCGGCTCGGGGAAATGCGGGAGAGCCTGGGGGAGCGCGGCGCTGGGGCGCGCAGGGACACGCGGCGCTCTCCGGGGCAGAGTTCACCGCTGGGAGCGACGTGAAACACCAAATTCTAAATAAATGCACCTAATTCGAAATAAATCAGGGACACAGCGCCGTCGTGTTCTCACGGAGCTTTAGGTGGCTGTTCATTTGGTAAAGGTCTGCAAAACGCTTTTTTTGGAACAACAAATGTTTCGGTTTTCTGATCAGGCCGCCCTTGTTTCTGTCCCAAACACCAGCGGAGGAATTCCGCGTGGGAGGGCGGAATTACAGTTTGTACCGGAGTAAAAGTGGCAGGAAGATAATGAGAAAAGGATTTCACAGAATCCCAGACCGGCTCGGGTTGAAAGGACTTTAAATCCCATTTCGTTCTAGTCCTGCCCTGCACAACAACACCTTCCCCTAGACCAGCTGGCAGAGCAGATAATTCTTCAAGTCCACGCTGGTTTTTGGGTGCTGCAAACACATATTTTTCCCCTACTGCTGCACCATGAGTTGAAGAACTTCGGTAGGATGCTGAGATCCAGCAGAGGGTGACCCTTCAGGTGATCCTCCTTGCTTTTGGGAATTCCAGCTGGGCTGTTGTTCTCCTGCTCCCTGTCCATTTGCTGCATTTCTCCTGAGGAGTTTTTACTCCTTTCAGAAGTTTGAGTTCACTTCTGTCTTCTCAGTCTGGGGGTTAAATTCCCCCTCCCCTGGAAAGGTCAGAGCCTGTGTTCCCAAGGTTTGTTTTTAGAGGCTCAGCTGGCCTTGGACACTTCTTGGCTCCCTGCCATTTCCAGATTTAACTCGGGGCTGTCCTGCTGCAGCTCCGAGGCAGCTCCAGCTCAGAGTCACTGCAAGTGAGCCCCTTCTCAGGTAGGACCTTGTGCTTTCTTCACACTAAAGCCCTCACTCCAGCCTGGAGGGGCTGGGCTTTGTTCCTTAGGAAAACCAGGTTTTTTTCCTTTCCTTTTATCCCCCCAGCCGCTGGATTTGGGATTGCAGCCTCCCATCTGGTGCCACTTGTCACCTAAAGGACAATGTGATTCTGGGAGCCTGCAGCTCCACAGTCACTTTTATTCCTCCCCTTGTTTGGGGAACCTTCCGGGGTTTGGTTCTTTAGGATCTCATCTTTGCACCCTTATTAATGAATATCCTTGTTCCTTCAGAAGCCATTGTCCTGCTCCTTTTGTAGGAGAACACCCAGTTTGTTTTAAGGGGAAAGTCCTGGGTTTATTTTTAATTGGATAAATGTGATTTATTCTATGGGAAGCTTTCAGAAAGTTTCCTATCACCTGTATTTGCTCACAATATCAGTGTTCTTATTTCTGCTCTCCAATAACCTGCATGTTCCAATCCTCCTTGGGATGGAGAATTGGGAATTACAGGACTTGCTTTGCACCAGTTAAGGAGCAGTGGCTTGTCCCAGAGTGAAACCCTGGTGTAATAAACATTACCTGTTAATAACAGAGGTTTTTCCAGTGTGAATACCCAAATTAATGAGGAAAGGTGAACGTGGGCTCTCAGACCTCGCAGCAGGAGGCTTGAGAAAGTCATTTCATCTCAAATTCCGTGTGCACCCCATCCCCACCCTCACCCCCATTTTAATGTGACACAGCATTTTCTGCTCTGGGAGCTTTGGCTACTTCACTGTTACCCAGAGTCGGGTTTGTGATAGAAGCAGGGCATGAAATGAAAGCAAAACTTGCTGCTGTAGGTCTGAAGTGCTACAGAAGTTCTTTTGTCTCAATTAATTTATTCAGCTGGGTTGTCCTCTCTCTCAAATCTGACTGAACTGAGATTTTCTTTGTTTTGGGGTTTTTTTAAGAGGCCTTTTGAGCAGCTTGGAAGAAGGGACTGCATCTGCATGCCCCCCAGAAAAAAATATATTATATATTATTATATAATACAATATAGTATATAATAATATATTGTATAATATATCAATAATAATATAATTATATTTTATATGTTTATATATTAGATATATGTAAACCTATATATTTATACACATAAAATATATATTATATAAAATTACATATTATATATTATATTATGTAATATATAAAAATTATTTATTATATAGTATATATAATATGTAGAATTAGATATTATATATTATATATAAATAAATATATTTAAAATACATATTTTATATATATTTTATATAATATATTTACATTTATATTTATATAAAAATATATGTAAATATATATAAAAATAGATGTAAAATATATATGTATATAAAAATATAAATGTAAAAATACATATATGTAAAATATGTTTATATTAAAATGTATATATATATAATATATGTATTTTATATATAAAAATATTTATAAAATATATATAAAATATATAAAAAATATATTAAAAAATATATTTTATATATAAAATATATATAAAATATAAAGGGATTTACATCTCTGATTGGCAAATCCTCTCTTGCTCCTCTCCCTTCTCTTCCCCCTCCCTTTTTTCCCTCCCCAGAGCTGCTACCTGTTGGTTCAGGCTCCAGCCTGGAAGCTGCCAGAGTAGGGTGTTGCTCCTGCCTGGGTTCTTGGTTTGCTGCAGCCCTCAGGCAAATCTGCCCAGTTCCTGTGTATAACATGGAGAAAAAGGAAAGAAATACAATAAAACATTAGAAATATTTTTCAGATCTCAGTTTGCTGTAGTTAGGAGAGGTGTCAGCAAAGTGACCTTTTCACCTGCATTTCACTGAATCCACAGCAGGGCCAGATTTTTCCAGTGCCTCGTGAAGGAAGTGCCACTGCACCTGCCAGCTCCCACTTTGGAAATAATGGCAGGGCTTAAACGTGGGCTGAGGGTTTTTTTGGATTCCAGAATGTCCTGTATGCCCAGTGTCAGCACAGCACCTGCTGTGCCTGCCCACACCTCGTGTTGTGAATCTCAAGAGACATTTGAGTGAAAAAAAAAGGGGAATCTTTAAGAAGGCAGAACCAGTCAGGAGAACCTTCCCATCCAGCCTGAAAATCCAGTGGCCTTGTGCCAAAACATCTCTTTCCCAGGAATTATTTTAGGGAAGATCCATTCTCTTATGCCAAATGAACTGTCCCAGTCCCTGCTGCAAACCAGTGCAGAGTACACCCTGTGTGCACTCCCTCAGCACAGGGGTGGGGGAAGAAGATGCTTTGCTGAATGTTCCTTTTGTTTTTCTGCTTTCCCACTCTGGCACACTCCCTGTGCCCGGGGGAGCTGCTGTTCTGATGTCTCCCTGCATTATCCACAGTGGATCACACCAGGAAGGACTGGAGACACACATGAGTCTCTTTGGGAATGGGGAGCTCCAAAGAACCCCAAGAAGAGTTGTGTTCTAACTTGATAGCTTTGTTTTTTGACCTTGCCAAGTTTATTTAGGGCTGTCTTTATGTGTTATTTTACTGTGTTCCAGCTGTACCTCCAGAAATACTTATTTTATTCAGTTCACTACTATTTCAGCAAGCTGTTCACTGAGCAGCTATTTGAGGAATTCTCTCCAAGCCCCTGATGGATATCTGGAAGAGCCTGACATTTTCCACATTAGCTCTGTTCCATGGCATGCAGAACCTCTGCCATCCCCTCAGTCCTCCTCAGTGACACTGAATTCTGCCCTAGCATTGTAGTTACCTCTTGTTTCCTGCTTCTCATGCTCTCCTTTTGTTTGAAGGAGCCCAAGCTCTGTGCCCAGAATTTCCCAGTATCTTCCCAGTAAAGGCCTGTCTTGCAGTTCAGACTGCAAGAATTCAAACTCTGCGTGCACAAGAAGGAGGAAGGGAAGGGAAAATACCCTGATGTTTGGTTCTGATTTCGTGTGTGAGCCAGAAGATTTGAGGAAGGGGCTGTAATTAACTTCACTCTTACATCAAGCTTTAATAAAAGCTCAGGGATATACAGAGGGAAAATTAGTGGCCTTTTCACAGAAGTCCCACTTGCTCTTTGGCCCTTAGTGAGCGGTCACATAAACTACTCTCTTGAAGGAATGGCTTAGCAAGGAGATTAGGCTATGCCTTGGTATCAGAATCCAATTCCAGGATGAGATTTCAGTGTGTTAAGCAAATTACTGGCTCAGAGAGAAAACCTGGAGCCTCCAAAAGGCAGACTGGCTTATATCCATCTGGGATAATACACAGTCGCTGATCTCTGGCTTGTAGATACTCTGGTACTGGATGTTTTAGAGAAATTGGAACAGTTTTATACAATCAGAAGAATGTGGAGAAATATCCCAGCCCTGAGGAACTTCATCACAAGAGGGTGAATTTAGGGCAAAACATGGGAACAACATCCCTGAACCCAAGTTTGTGACATGACAGCTGACAGGATGCAATGCCAAGTGTCCTGCTGGGATGTTCACATTACTATTTCACTGCTTAAAATTGGGTACTGATACGAACTTTCCAAAACCTAAATGAAGGGATGAGAGAATCTGCTGAAGATACAGAGGTACCTTGGTGGTTTATTGGTGGTCTAAGGCAGGATTAAGAAGAATAATTTCAAAGTAGTTTTCATTCAGGCCTTTGCTCATTTTATTTATGGTGAAATGATCTCTTTCCTTTCATCCTGTGGCTCTAGGAAGACAGTTCAGAAGGGAAAGCTCATGGATTTCACAAGCACTGTCATCATCCCGCTGCTTTTTGGCAGCCTGGGGATCTTCGCGCTGTTCCGGCTGCTGCAGTGGATGCGGATGCGAGCCTACCTGCAGGACGCTGTGGTGGTGATCACAGGGGCCACCTCTGGCCTGGGGAAAGGTATGCACCCAAAGCAGGGCACCAAGGGCAGCACAGGCAGGGGGCTGTGGCAGGAGCAGCTCTTGGAATAAAGCAGGAATGAGCTCAAAGTTTTTTCAGAGACACAGCTCCCACCTGAGTTATAACCACAGCCAGTGCAGGTTTGGGTGCAAGGAAGTCTCAGCATTTGGTACAGAAAATTTAAAGAAATTCTTCTTGTATAAACTGGAGCTCATCAAAGCAAGGAATTAGATGCTGTTCTTGTGCTGTCAGGGGTCTTTTCCCTAAATCCTGAAAAAGCCAGGAAGCCAAATTGTTTCTTTAAAACCTCACAGATGTGGCGTTCTGCCTTCATGTACTTACAGCTGTTTTGCCAAACTTTCTACTCCTTCTCCTTGTCCCTCACCTTCAAGTTAAGGTACCTCTCATGGTACAAATCCATGCACTCTAAAGTCAAGCTCTTGGCATTATTAACACCAGGGACTATTTTTTTCCAGCTGAAACTTATGTTTTGCTTCAGTGGCTAGATCCTCTAATTCTGCTTTCTATAATTGCCTTAAAAGCTGCTTGAAGAGAAGACAAGGTGCTGTCTGCTGTCAAGGCCTTTCATTAGGATGAGTACATTTATAGAACAAATAGAGCTTTAATTGGTGCTGCCTTTGCATGTGAGTTTGTCCCTAAGGACAGGGGTGTTCAGGAACTGGCCAGAGGAGATGAACTGGTTCTCTCTGCTTGCCTCAGCTGAAGAGTAGGAGTGGTAAAGGATCTTGTACTTCTCATCAAGAAGAGAGGAAATTAGTATTCCAGGAGAGACCTTCCAGCTGGAGCTCTGCCTGTGCTGTGGGGTGTAGAGACTTCCACCACTGTACTGTAAAGTTTCCTCCCTTTTTGACTAATTTGCAAGATCTTTTACAGCTTCCCTTACTCGTAGTTATTAATACACCAGACTACCTCTAATTAGTGTGTGTTCACTGCCATCCACTGTCATCCCTTATGCAAACAAGGAGTTTGTCCCTCTGGCTCCCAGAGGGGACAGGAACATGCAATTAGGAGGACAATAGCCTGGCATCCCTTCTCCAGGCTTTTCCCAGTGAAGAGAACCACCTTGATGAAGGCATTAAATCCCAGGCTCCCAGAACCTCTGAAGGTGTTCATTAAAACTGAAACTCCTAAGACCTGTGTTAGACGACACACACAAGGTAACTGTGGTCCCTCTTAAGAGAGGTGTAAAGTCAAAACTAAAGAGGCACAGGCAAATTTGACCATCTGAGGGGGAGAACGTGTGAACAGCACAGTGTCTAACCAGCACAGTATCTGTGAGCACAGCAGCTGCCTCACCACTATCATGTGTCTGTCACAGTCCCAGGAGAGTGGGATGTGGTTGTGACCTCTCTGTCAATCAGTCTGGCCACCACACAGCAGCAGTAAAGCCACCTCAGACCCTGCCAGCAAACTGCACTTGGAGCTCTCACCAGGGCTGATGTGCATCTGGCCTTTGGCTGCTATTCACATGCCTACTTTTCTCTCTTCCTTGCTTCTTCCACAGAATGTGCCAAAGCTTTCCATGCAGCTGGCTCCAAGCTGGTGCTCTGTGGCAGAGACAGTGAGAAGCTGAAGGAACTGGTGCAGGAGCTCTGTGCTGTGAAGAATCACCGCAAGAACGTGAGTGTGGCACCAGGACAGGCCGTGGGCTCACGTGGCCTGGAGTTCTGCTTGGGTTCTTACAGAAGTTACAGAATTGCCTCTGGGTTTTTCTCTTGGGCAATAGGGAAAATCCAACTGTGTGCTTAGGGATGATGCTGGGATAGTACACTGAGCTGGCATGTCATTCCTTGTAAAACCCCCCCAAGCACACGAGGGCAGAGTCCAGACCCTTTACACCTGCAACTCATACACTGAATCTGGAAAAGTGACTTTATTTCTGCTCTTATTTTTTATGTCTTTGCCTGCTGACTATGGCTAAGAAAGGTACTGCTGGCTTCTGCAGAAAACACATGGGTTATGTTTTGCCTTTTTCAAATGCATTTCTTTTAATAAGACAACAGGAAACTTGAGACTCCCTTGTCCCTTTCCTAGGCTCAGGGATAGGGAACAGGCTACAGGAGCAGAGAAGGAAGAGCACAACCTGCTTCTGCCATAAATTCCTGCCATGTGGAACAGCTGCACTGTAGTTGCACAGGGTTTGGATGGCCCTGCTCCTGTGCTTCCAGAGCTGGAGGATCCCATCATGAACTGGCACACCCAGCACTGAACTGTATTTTGCTAACTTTAGTTTATTCACAGACACACGAACCTCACACTGTGGTGTTTGACCTCTCGGACACCAAAGCTGTGGTAAATGCTGCTGAGGAGATCCTGAAGGCCTTGGGGCACGTGGACATCCTGATCAACAACGCTGGCATCAGCTTCCGAGGCACCATCGTGGACACAGAACTGCACGTGGATAAGAAAGTGATGGAAACAAATTACTTTGGACCTGTAGCCCTCACCAAAGGTACCTGTGCTCCACAGGATTTGGCTGCTGCCTCTGCAGAGCAGCACTGAGCACAGCTTCACTTGTGTTTGTCACTGTACCTGGTGCAGCACAGGCTGAAGGGAGGTTTGGGGTTATGGGCAGGCCTGAGGGCATGACTGGGTGGGAAATACCCCATTGGAGATGATCCCTGGTTCCATCTCCTCTCCAGCCTGGCAGGGGCTTGGGAAGAGGTCCAGTTATCCTGTCTGCACTGACAGAACACTGGAGAACGTGGTGGGGGCTCCAGTGGAGCTGCAGCTTTCCTGGGAAGCTTTGGTCACACAGAAAGCTCAGCCTGGAGCGTGTCAGCTGCAGGAAATGGGAAGATGTTCTGGTGGCAGGAAAAGCAAATCCTGCTGCCCAGTGTGTGGGAGATCAGAGCCACCACAGCAGCCCTTGTGCAGCCTCTGGCACAAGGAATCTCCTCACGGGTGAACCTCCCTGCCAGACACAGCTGCAGTCAGAGGCATCCCAAGCACTGTCCCAACCCCTGCACTGAAGAGGGATCTTGTAATTAATTCCCTTCAGCATCTCTGAGTGCTCTGAAAGCTTTGATTCTTGACAGCAGCAGTGGCAGGACTGTTGTCTGAATGGATCTTTTCTGCCCTTTGCTAGCACTTCTCCCCTCCATGATCAAGAGGAGACAAGGCCACATTGTGGCCATCAGCAGCGTGCAAGGCAAAATAAGCATTCCTTTCAGATCTGCATGTAAGTACCTCCACAGAAGATGGGAAAGACATATTTGGGGCACCAGGCTGAATAAATACTTGGCTCCTGCTTCCACATTTAGCTCTCCATGGAACTAGCTGTGTGCAAGGAAAGCAGAGCTGTGCATCACCCTCAATGGGGTCACAAACCACTGACAGCACTATTAAATATAAAATCTTAGCCCTGTCCTAAAGTTTTTAAGGGATGGAGAATGTGTTTTGAAAACAGCTTGACAGTCCTATCCTGAGAGTCACTATAATTCCATAATTTTATGGTATTTTGTCCTTGTAATTTGTCTGCCATTATCTCCTCTAAGAAGGCAAGAATTTTTTGTTTTAATAAATTATGAAGTTCCATAGTACAAACAATGCCAGAACGAAAGCCTAAACAATCTTGATCCAGCGAACTGTTCATGCTAAATCAGCTATGACAAGGAATATTGGTGAGATTAAGATGGATGAACTAAGATGAGAGCATTTGACACACAAGCATCTGTAAATCACTGAAAGTGAACACCAGAAGCAGAGTGGTGATGGGGTGGGTCAGTAATGTCTGAGCCATGAGTTTTGCAGGTGATGTGGGTCCAATTGCTCCAGGAATTGTGTTCTGAGGAGCTCCCAGGGTGCTTGCACAGCGACCAGAGCCACATGGATCTGGCAGCAGGAGCTCAGCCCTTGCTGGGTCTGCAGCCTGTGCTGGCTCTGGTGCTGCTGGTGGAGATGGTGGCAGTCACGGGCCAAAAAAAAGGAGTCACTCAGCCATTTCATGGGGGAAAATCCTGCCCTAGGCCACGCTGCCCTGCTGTGCCTGCCTGTGTGATCTGGTGTTCCCTTTGTGCAGCCAAGCCCTGAACCTGCTCTGCAAGTCCCTAATGCTCAGCACGTGCAGGGCAGCCAGCTCGGCCTTCCAAAGGCTTTGGGTCTCCTTTATCAGGAGTGGGAGGCAGCTGGGGTTCACTCTGGAGTGCTCTGGCAGGGCTGTGATACTGAGTTCAGAATCCCAGCCAGTTTTCAACTTGAGTTTACGTTTTGTTTTCTTAAATTGCCTCTGACTCCCACTACCTGTTGCTGCCATTCACTAAACAAAAACAAAGGTAGAGGCTGGAGAACAGCTCTTGGGTTCTTGCTGAGAAGTGGCTGCATTGCAGTGAAAATCCCATTCACAAAGTGAAAATTCCTTCAGCCCTGCTCCTTCTCCTTGCTGTACAGTCCTTTTCCTGTTTTCCAGATGCTGCCTCCAAGCATGCTACCCAGGCCTTCTTTGACTGTCTGCGAGCAGAGGTGGAGCAGTATGACATTGAAGTGACAGTTGTGAGCCCTGGGTACATCCAGACAAACCTGTCCCTCAACGCTGTCACAGCAGATGGATCTCGCTATGGAGGTGAGATACCACTTGCAGCCCTGTTTCTAAAACATCTCCATGTTATTATAAGGTGTGTTTGCAACACATGGCCTCTGGTCGGGACACAGGTTAGCCCTGAAGGATCAAAAACCAACTCTTGATGCAGGGTAGGAACAGCAAGCCCCAAAATTTAGCCTTTCCAGACAGCAACTATTGCCTTCAGGGCCAGCCATGAGGAACAGCTGCCTGTGCTCCCATACACAGCTGGAGTGAAAACCAGAGCAAGCAGCCATGTGCAGTCAGAGCATTCCTTGGAAGGGCACCTCAGCGGGGGCTTACCCCGGGTGGTGCTCACTCAGCTTTCCCTTGGCAGTTATGGACAAGACCACGGCCGAGGGACAGACGGCCGCCGAGGTGGCTCAGGTGGTTCTCAACGCAGTGGGACAGAAGAAGAAGGAAGTGCTTGTGGCTGGCCTGACCCCCTGCCTGGCTGTCTACCTGAGGAACCTCTGCCCCAGGCTCTTCTTCACCTTAATGGCATCCAGAGCAAAAAAGGAGAGAAAAGCAAAGGGCTCTTAGAGCTCGGCTGCCCTGAGCAGGGAGAGGCTGAGGCCCTGCAGTCGGCTGGGACATCACTGGAGGTGCTCCTGCAGGAAAATCCTTTCTCAAAAATCTGTTTACCATTGCATGGAGACTGGGAACTGGTTTCCCTTACACTGCTGGAAGAGGAACCTCAGCTGGAGAAGGAAGGGTGCTTGGACAATGGGGGAGAGCTGAGGCTGCAGGGGAGGGGTCAGGGGAACACTGCAGCCAGGGAGGCCCCTGGCTGGGAGACTCCTCACCTCACTGCAGGCATGCTCAGCTTTACTGGCCTGCTACAAATAAAACCCACCTGTTCTGCCTTCACACGAGCAGACCTTGGCTGTCCCCACCCCTGTGAAATACAGTCCTCAGCTGGGAACTCTTGTGATCAGTGTCTCATTCCCACTCCTTCCAATCTGATCCAGGACATGCTGCTTGCAGTGGGAAACTTCACAGCCTCTTCCTGTTAACGTGCCAAGTCATCTGATAAATTAAGCATAGAACAGTGCTACTTTTAAAGAAGTAACTGATGTACAATTTGGGTGTATTTGGCATCATTTTACCTGTCTGAATCATGCCCTACTGATGTACTGGGACTGTTAATTCTGCAGTGACAGTGCTCTGTGGATCCCAGCCCAAGGAATGCAGGGAAGCACTGAACGGGTAGAACAGCACAGCAAGGCAAGGACGCACTGCACAGGTGACAGCAGCACACCTGGGCCACCTGCAGCTCAGAGCAGGTGTGACCCTCTGGATGCCAGGCACTCCCTGGTGCTAGAGAAGAATCCATGTGTGTAAAGTGCAGAGTGTAGCAGACAGACCCTTTGTTCTCATCTGCTTTAAAGCAATCACAGATGCTAATTAGGATCACATCCTGTGGGGAATGTTACCTGCCTGTTCAGGAATCTCCTTAGGGAGCCTGACAGCCTGAAGGGTGCCATGTTCCATTCCTCACCCCTTCTCCTCATGTGAGGGATACCAGCACCACTAGGAAAAAGGAACTGCTGCACAGATATAGGAGAGAAATAATCTTAAAATTGAAATAAACTCTATTAGTAGGAACCAAGGTTCAGACCTCTGCCACCTCCAAGCACTTGCTAGCATTTTCCACGTGTCCTGCCTCACTTGTCCTGCCTGGAGTGCACATCTGATGACAAATAAATTACATTGCTATGAAATTAATCCCTTGGTCTACTCTAGCTCCTCACAGCACATAACTTAAGAGGAAGGAAAAACAGGAGGGTTTTGTTTTTCCTTACATCCCTGCAAGGTGCTATTGTACCAGCAGTAGCTGCAGAACAACATGCTTTATCCCAGCCCTCTTTATGGGACCTGTTAGCTTACACAGTGTGAATCCACAGAGAGGATTAGTCACACAAACTCTGATATGGGTGTGGAGGCTCAGCAGGACCTTCTGCTTCCAAAAGCCATTTCTTAACCACTACAGATTTATAAATAATCTCTGAGAACCAGGATGTGCTTATTGATGACAATGCTGCTGCTCTGTCAGGACATCCATCCTCTGCCACCTTCCCTGTGGCTGGGGCTGCAGCTGTGTCACAGAAAGGTTGGATTGGGGTTGGTTTGACAAGGTGAAGCTTTCAGGTGTGCAGACACCTTTTTTCCTGTTAAGATAGGAAAGCAAGGCATTACCTTCTCTGCCTCTCCACAAGGGGAGTGTTGGTGTTGTGCTGTTCCTTTTGTGTTTCCCATGCTCAGATCCTGAGGTTCTTGGTGAAATGCAGTGCTCCTGCCAGGCTTGTTCAGCTGCTCCATGTTCTGGTGTTTCAGGTTGTGGCTACCCAGGAAGGACCAAGGGGCTGCTTTGCATTTCTGTGTTCCCATCCAGGGCACCGAGGGTGAAACACATCAGGCCTGAGGGAAAAATTATGTGTGGGGATTTCCTGTAGTTACTGTGGGAGCTTAAGCTCAAAGGCAGAGGTTGCTGAGAGTGCACCCATTCCCTTTGGAGGTAAATTCCCTCTCTGTGACGATGGGAATGCTGCACACTCCAGAGCAATGGGCAGGGGGGCAGCAAAGTCTGGGGGCTTCTGAAGGGAGGTTTGTCCCCAGCCACTGTTGATTCCACCGAGCTACTGGCAGTGGGGACAGCAGATACAGCAGCACTCCACATGGATGAGAATTTTTGGAAGTTGTTTTACCATTTCACCCTGCACTAAAATACCCCTCAAGACTCCTCACATTCTCCCAGGTCACCTGGAACAGTTACAGCCCTAACAGCCAGAATGTTAAAATGCATTTTAGCTGCATTATCACAGATTCCCTGGAGAACGAGCCCCTCTGCCCCTCCACCTCAGAATGGAGTAACAGCTGTGTTTTTCAATCAGACCTACCCATTGTGACAGCTGACTTTTCACCTTTCCTCCTGCAATAAGAGACCCCAGGAAACTTGCTAATTTTTAACTCAAGTCTCTGATGTCAGCCATGCATTTAGGGAACTTGCCATAGTGATCATTCCAGACCCCTGGGAGGTTTAACACAAAAAGGTACCAGGACCCCAGAGGTTTGGTGCAGGAAAGGAACTAACAGCTCTGAGAATTATCCTGCATTAAGTAAAAAAAGATCAGGAACACCTTTGGTGTGGCCAGCACAAAGGTATTTCAGGGCCTTCTGTAGCAATAAGCAGTAGTAGCTGTGGCAGATGTGCCACTGGCTTCAAATCCAGCCAGCAGGGACTCTGGAAACACATCAGGGTGGAAGGGCAGCGTGCCCAGCCTGGCCTAACCACTGAAAGATGAAGTAGTTGCATTTCTCTGCCTCCTCTCTGCCAAGGCAACTGTACATTGTTGCTATAAATAGATGCTCTGGATCTCAGCTTCTTTTAACCTTGGAGGGAAAGAGCTCAGCCACTGTACAAAGGGCTGCTGCCACCCAGAAATGTCTCACTGCCACTGGAGCTCCTCCAGCCCACTCAGGTACAGCTGCTGGTGCTCAGGGCTGGCAACACCCAGCAAACCCAGTTTGCCCAGCAAACCCAGAACGGGCTGCATGTCCTGCTCACAACAAAACTGCCTCAGCAGAGAAGCACAAGTCAGAGAAGCACTGTCAGAATAGCCCACGGAGGTGAGGACAGGGAGTCCTTGGTGCCTGCTGTGGCAATTTGAAGAGATAAAGATAGACAGGCAGAATTTGGGGTCTGAACCCTGTCAAGGTCAGTGTTTCAGCTGGGAAGGTCAGGCTGCAGCTCCCACTGCAGCAGGGAGCACACAGTGCACAGGCAGCTCTCACTGCAGGCCTCTGCTCTCCTATTCTAAATGTAACACCTGGAGCTGTGCCAGGCTGGCCCTGCCAATGCCAGCCACACCTATTCCCCATGTGGTGGGAGGAGATTACAGACAGCAAGCCCCTATCTTTTAAAAATAACTGGCAGATCTCACAGAGAGTAAATGCTTCCCACTCTAACAACAAGATTTTGAGTTTAGAGCTAAAAAATGGGTTAATGCACAGGACTGGATTCTAAAATTTCAGGTAACAAGATGCAGTTACAAAGATGCCTTGCAGCAGGAGCAAGCAGCTCCTGTGTTCCAGGCAAAAGCAGTGGAATTGTGTGGTCAGGGCACAGCACAAAGGTAGGAGAGGTGGACTCCCACCTTGGCAGCCCCCAGCCCTGCATGTGGCTCAAGGCATTTCAGAGATGTATCTACCTTAGGAAGAACAAGAACTGAGCAGAATGTATTTGTACCTGGACACTTAAAACAATATCACTTTGATAACAGTGACAAGAGAGCAAGAGCATTTGAAATTGTCATCCTTTAATGGTCAATGATAACTTCTGGCTGGTTCTGTGTAATACAATTAAACAATATACTTAAATGTTTCCCAAAAAAAAAAAGGAAAAAAAAAAGAAAAAAAAAAAAAAAAGAAAGCAGCTCTCACACCCCTTCTTTCTATTGCTTGCTTTCATGGACATTCCGCTGCTGGATTGGACTCCCCTGGCCTAACATACGGATCCCAAGTCACCACACATCCACATCTCAAGTGTAACGAAGAACTGAAAAACCTTGGTGCACCAGTGATGTGTTATTTGAAAAATAACAGCTCTATCAAACCAAATCCTTCCCAGTCTCCACCGCTTCTCAAAGAGGAAAAACAAAATGTTACTGTGGGAGTCTTAATACACTTGTCTTTGTGGGTTTCTCTCTTCCCTGCTGAAGTCATACAGCATAGAGTTCATAGATCTTCTTTACACAGTACACCAGGGCAGCGAGTGCTATCGTGTTGTGCAGTCTCTTTCTGTGCAGGTCGTCCTTCCTCACCAGCACCACGGGAGTGGACGAGGTGAGCGTATGCAGGGGCAGGCGCGAAAGTTTATAGGCATCGTACTCGACCTGGTACTTGCAGCAGGGATCGAACTGCCAGGAGATCCCGTAGAGGGTGCAGCAAGCCACGCTCAGCACTCCGGCGGGCAGGGAGATGTAGTGAGAATAATCGACTGGCAGTGCCAGGGGGGTGAAGAGGCAGGTGGTGCCCGCCAGCACGGCCGTCTTGTGCAGGCAGTTCCCCACGGTGATCCAGCGCGCCGTCTCGTCCCCGATGCGCGTGGGCTCGATCACGATGTACTTGTACTGCGCCTCCAGCGCCTGCTCCAGCTCGTACTCAAACTGGTCCTGAGCGTTCTCCCCGTTGTAGATCTCGTGCACAATGTAACAGTCCGTGGAGGACAAGGTCACCCTGGTAAGGGGAAATGAAGAATTAAAACTACAGGGCTGAAGGACAGGCTGTTCACCCACCCGGATGGGAGAGCAGGACAGAAGTGCCCCAAGTGAGGGCAGCCCCTCGAGGTCACAGCCTCTGTTTCACAACCAGCAGCTTCTCAACTCAAGCTTCATTTCACATCAGCTGATTATTCCTGCTGTACAATAATTCATCCCAAAAGAAGGCAACATATTTTTCTTACCTTTTCCTAACTTGAAGGATCTAGAACAATTTGAGAAATAGGGTCTTGTAACAGTCCTGAAATGGTTTATCGCACTGATACCCAAGCAATTTCTTTGGAGAGAGCAGAAGTGTCACTCACACCTTAGTGACCACAACACATCACTGAACAAACCTCACAGACTTCAGGAGCTTTCACAGAAACCAAGACAAGCAGCTCACTGATCAGGAGGACAAGCTGCTCTGGGAGGTTTGGAGAGTGGAAGCATCTCCAGATGAATACATTTGTTTTCTGATGCAGCTTGATATTTAGTCCTCCATATTAACACAGCCTAGTAAATCCATGGTAAATCCAAAAAGGATGGCCAAGGAACACTGCTGAAAGGGAAGGTGAAGAAGGCAGCAGAGCATTCAGTTTGTGGCAGAACACTTCACTCCCTCTCCTGAAGTGGAATGAAACAAAGCAAGACACAAGTTTTTAATCCAGGTACTGCTTAAACAGTGAAGAAAGAGCTGCTCACTTCACCTGGGAGCATATTTCCTACTCAGGGGATTCAGGGAACTTCTATTGGAGCTGCAGCTTTCAGCTACTTAATGTCACATCGATTTCCACCTTCCCTCCACCCCCTTCACCACATCATCTTATATCTGCGGCTATATTCACGTACAGACTGCTAAGAAATAGGATTATGACTGTTCACCTGCTCTGGGAAAGGGTAAAAACCTATCCATCAGAACCAGGCAAAATCCTCACTTCTGAGCAGAAATGAATATTTCTGGCATACTTGTGCTTAACCAGAGCAAAACTGAGCACGTGGCCTAGCAAAGATAAAAATATCTAGCAGATTCCTTTAGCAGAAGGAGAACAAATCACACATCTGACCTAATCACAACAGACAAAACAGCCTCATCCCAACAGCATTTAGACCACCATGATATCGGGAGGAACACACTGCTGATGTGGAAAACAGAATGAGCACTTTTTGCTCCATTAGTACAGTGGTACTTATGTGCATGCACTGGAAAATAAGGGAGAAAAATACACATTCACAAGCTGCTGTTGCCAAACATTATCCTTAATGTGCAGCTCCACTCAGGCTGCAAAGGGGATTGAGCAGTGGCCAGCTGTAATCAAGAATATTGTTAAATTACAAGCTGCTGCAGACATGGCTGGGTTTGTAACAGCAGCAAACATCAACCAGCAGGACCTGACAGGCACCACCCTCTCCCAAAGCAGAGTCAAAAGCAGTTTCATTAAAAGTCCAGCTGGAATTTATATAACCTACAAGGAAAACTCAACTCACAATGTAGTTATTATTGAGTTCCTTGCAGTGCATTTCCCCCTTGGCCTGTTCACGGGTAGAAAGAAAAATAAAAATCCACCTTAATTCCGTGCATGGTGGGGGCTTCTTTAGGGCAATGAGTTGTTAGACATTGTTGGGAAAATTACCATTAACCCTTTCACACAGGATGTGGTGGGCTCTGATGTTCTGCAGTGAATTGAGAGGTATTTAGAGAAAAAAATGCAAGTATAGGATCTATACAAGGAGTTTCTAAGAAGAAAGGAGATAAGCAGGTGTTACACTGACACCAAGGACACAGCTGGTCATGGTTTCTGCCAGGGATTCTTTTCCCTGGTAACAGCTGCTGCAAGTGCAGCTTCTTCCAAATCAAAAATCCCAGTTTCATTGCAAAAGACACATAGAGGCTTAAGGTAACTGCACACCACCACCCATGACTTTGTGAAACCACTTGCAAGGCCACAATGACTTCATGGAAAAGCTATTGCTGAAAGGCATTTTCAAGCTGGAAGCCAACCCAGTTCTAACACAACTCTCCAGACAAAATTAATATTTCCAACAAGGAGCACTTTCACTGTTTTGTAATACCCAGGAACATGCAGATGGGTGGGCAAAACAGAGAAGCAGAATCCAAATTCAACAGAGAACTCTCAGAGGCTTAGGCACAGCACAGTTGTCATTCCACATCTCCCTGTCATCCCTGGGAAAACATGGATGAAGCCAGCCCATTCCTCCCCTGCCTGTACAAGAGCCATGGGAACTGAGCTTCTAACTCTAGGAATTCAGGATCTATATTACATGGGATTTCTCCAGGCTCAGCACCAGGACAGGTGGCACCAGCAGCCTCATTTCTCCTTGCTCTGCTCTAGCCTGTTCTTCCCTCTGAACACCCCTTTTTTCCTTTCACCATCACTGCACAAGCAGAGCCACACCACAAGCAGCCACCTGTCAGCAGGAATCCAACAGACTGGCCAGAGGCAGCATTCTCCATCTCCTCTGGAATTTTCTGGCTTGCCAGGCTCTGGGGCTTTATAAAATAAAGTTGAGAAAAGCACATGCCTTTTTTTTTTTTTTTTTTTGGCCTCCAATGCCAAAACAAGCAGAATTTAAAGTATGTTCTGCTGGAAAAAATAAAAAATCACTGGGAACTGAACAGCACAAAGGCTCTGTCCCTGAAAAGTCTGCCTCCCAACTGTGTTGTTTCTCCAAATGAGTCTTCTAAAATCAGAATAAATCTCTATCATAGTGCTGAAGCTGCAAATGGCAAAACAGCCAATCCAAAAAAGATATCTGCTTAAATTGGACATGTGAAGAGTCAGCAAAGCAGGCAGCAAGTCTCAATTTCTGCACAGGGAAGTGGGGTTATCATGTATTATTTCCACACAAGAACTGGCTGTCCCTGGAGCATGGAAAGCTGAAAAGTGTTTGGATTTCAGATGATAGAGACACTGACTTGTGGGCTTGAGGAGGTTTCAGCTGAGAGACAACTCTCCTGACACAGCCTTTCCATTGAACACAGCAGCTGCACACCAACAAGTCCAGTCAAAGCAACTGGATTTGCTCAGACACTGGAGGCCACGGGAGTTTGCCTTTTGGAGCTTGTGACAAACACAACTGCAGAGCTGTGCAAGTCTGAGCCAGCATCCACCACTTACCTAGTGTGGGGATTTGATATAAACTCCATTTTACTTGAAAAAATAGTAAATAATCACAGAGCACTTAATGCCAGAAGACATAAAATGCTGCCAGCTGTTCAGAAGCCTGATAGATTGTTTACTAGACAGACCAGAGCCTAAAAGCAGTTGTTAATATTATTCAATCAGATTATTTTCCAGGACCTGTCTCCTCACTCCAAATAAGAGGGAACAGTTAAAAATTTGTACAGCTGTTCTGTAGGAATAGTTCTAGGCCTTATATCCAAATATTTGTTATACTGCAGCTTCAGGCATTCTATATTTGAGAACTTTTAGAGTCTCATTCCTGGTGCTGAATGAATGTCTGGATAGGAGAATGTGACAGAACTCTCAGCTATTTAGCACAGCAAGATGTAAATCACTTAAAACTCAACGATGTCAAATTTCAGTATAGCCAAAGTTAAAAATAAGGAATCCATTGTTAACAGAGCTACAGCAGCAGGAGGGGCAGAAGTGTCTGTTAGCTATAGAGCAAGCTTCAAATTACATTTGGATTGTCTTCCTAACATGGGAATATGGGAGAGCACCAGGAGAGGGTGAACAATAGCAGCTCCAGCAGTTCATCAAATCCTGAAATGGTTTGGGTTGCAAGGACCTCAAAGCCCATCCAGTTTCACCCCCTGCCATGGCAGGGACACCTTCTGCTGTCCCAGGTTGCTTCAAGTCCCGTCCAACCTGGCCTTGGACACTTCCAGGGATTCAGGGGCAGCCACAGCTTCTCTGGGCACCCTGTGCCAGGGCCTCACCACCCTCACAGGGAACAATTTCTTCTGAAGTTCCAGCCTCCAGAGCAGTTCCATTTCTCTGCCTCCACCGTGGAAGCAGGCTCCTGAAAACAGCAAGCTGCCTGGTAAATGGAAATTTCAATTGGATAGTCTTTATGGATGAAGAAATAAGTAACATTCCAAAGAGGAGGCACAATGTCACTCCACGTTTTGTCAGGTGCCAAGTGGCAAAAGGAACAGAGCACTGAGAACAAGGCAGGGGAAAACATCCTGGGAGAACCCTCAGCATCCTCCTACCACTGCCCACCTGGAGGGAGAAGGACTGAGCCTCCTGAGTTTGTTGCCTTCAAACTAATGGCACCTGCCAGACAGACTTTTTTTAGTGAGGGTTTCAAGTTATCCAACTATCTCAGTTCTGCAAATGCTCAAAATCACACTTGGAAACAATCTTAAGCTGCACAAGTACAGTTCTGAGCAAAAATAAAAGTTCTTTTGAGCCCCTCCCATAACACGTAGGTCAAGTTTTGTTAAAAGCTTTCTTTCTGAGTTTTCCTCAGAGCACCAAACAATCAGATTAACTGAAAATGGAGACCAGTTTGATAAGTAGTTAAAAAAATTAGAAAGGAGAAGCTTGCAGCAGTGTGATAACACCTGGTCACAAGCAGCACACGCAGCCCAGCTCAGCAGTGCAAGATCTCAGAAAAAAAGACATTACAGATGGCCAGAGCTGTCTGGGAGCATTGCTGGCATCTCAGCCAAGCTGGAGGAAGTCAACAGAGTCAAGGCATGACAAATCCAAACACTAAACTTCCCTCCCTCCAACATAAATCCTTCCTGAAATTTAATTTAATTTCAAGATTAAGAAATAGGCTGTGGCCTGGCTTTAATTCTCAGTGGAAATATTCCACCTCCCAGTCATATTCCCCAGTGTATGTTTCTACTCAGGATATGGTGCACAGAAAGCACAAACACATCCCACCCTAAACACCTGCAGAATTGTTTCTCTGCTGAAGGTCCCCACAATTTAGCAGGCTCAAGCCCTCAGCCAGGGCTGTCAGGCCTGGGGCTTTAAGAAGGGCACTCAAGCAGAGGAAGAACAGGAAATGCAGGGCAATAAAGCAAGACTTGAATTCAAAAGATGCACCTTTAATTCAAATAAGAAAAAAGGACAGGAGAACATTGGGAAGCTCTTCAAGCAGCCTTAGGGAGGGACAACATTACCTGAACTCTAAGGAAAACATCACCAGACCATTACAACAAATCCAGCCCCAGACAACAAGGTGTCAATTTTAAGTCAACTAATGATTAGCCAGGCTGATGGAAATAGGTCAATCATTGCTGCAAGCAGAGCACCAGAAATCTGAGCAGCGCAGGTAGCAAAAGGAGAGCTCTGTGAGGGCACTGAGGAGCCAGTGCAGGCAGTGGTGATGACATGGAAGCTGTTCTTTGCAGAGTTTGTCAGAACATCTCCCAGGGGAACAAACAACATGCTGTCCCCTGCTCTGGTGGGCACCAGGCTGCCTTTTATACAAAAACACCCAGCACAATCCAGTGTCTGTTCTGTATGAAAAAGTTGTTTTGGTCTACAGATTAACAATTCCCTTTAGATAGGCTCCATTAAAGAGTCTATCCAGAATGCAGAAAAACAAATATTTAGTTGGTTGCCTTCAGTGTTTTTGGTTATTTTGTTTAACATTATTATTTCACCACCAGAGCCAGCTGGAGTTCAGAGTCAACATCCTTTGAAATTAATGACCTTATATTCACTCCTAGCAAGGAAAGCACTTTTTAACCAATCATAGCTTTCTCTGTATCAATAAGGTCACTTATGAAGGGACTCAGTCTCCACAGATATGCTGGTCTATTTTTTTAAAAATAATTTTAAATGAAAGCTGCTGTAGTCTCGCAGCAGACAGGATTTTATTCAGTACTGAGTCTCCTCACACCACCTCCGACACACAGATGCCTTTTAGAGAGGCTGGCTGACAACTACAAACACTCCTTGAAACAGCTCAGTTACCAGGAAAACTGGATCAGCACATTCAGTTCAAAGGAACGTGGCTTTGGACAAGAATCCTGCCCGGAGTAAGAAAACTGTATTCAGCTATAAAAAGCACATGTCATCATGTGGTGACATCAGGTCTGTCAGCGCTGCCTTTGCACAACCGGGGCTGCAGCAGCCTGACAAGACAGGCAGGTGTGGTTTGGGATCAGCCCTGATGGACACACAGAGGCCCAGTCACCCGCATCTCCTGCTCTGCTACTGCCAGCAAGAAGCAGCACCTCGCTGACATCACCCAACACCTTTTGGAATTCTCCTCCTGTCATGTTTGTACACGGTGACACCTAAAGAACCACCAGCTTTTGATGGAGATTGTGAAATGCTGCTCAGGGGAGGATCTGCTGTTCTGTTCTCTTCCATACCCTTCTCAACAGCAAAGGAAAAATAATACGTGCAGCAGGTTCATGGAGTGACTCGTATTTAGGAATATTTTTGATCATAAGATCAAGAGCAATCACAGCTTTGAAGAAAGATCACCTCAAACAACAATTAAGATTATTGTACAGGTCACAGGTGAAGTTACACAGTAACAACTCACTTTTAAGTCTGCATCAGTTTTCACCCTGGAAGAGTAATTGAAGTTATTAAGTGTTCTTTTCCACATTCTGTTTCTTCCCTTCTGCTGGGAGGACACGTCTGCTACATGAAAACTCCACACCTCCCGTGCTGGGGCAGTGCCAGCACTGGGTGCAGACAGTTTTACCACTGTGGTATTCTTAGCTGTTTATTTAAACCACGCTGATGCAAGAATTCCATTGGCCCTTCCAGTTCAATTACTTTTGAATTCCCTGAACATAGGCAGCATTCCTGCAATTCACATTAGCACCAGAATTTTCAGGGCTACTTGTGGCTCTCCTTGGCCGGGTAGATTCAACAGCATCCAAGCAAACACTGTTGGATCACAACAAGGCAACGAAGTGAAGCAAAAGCCACAAGACAAATGAAGGGGGATATCAGAGTTTCTAATTAAGAGGGATATCAGAGTTTCGAGGCGAGGCGGCAGGACAAAGGAAAACTCAGAGAACACTGCAGCAGCTTTCAGCAGCTGCCGGTTACATCAGTCAGCCCTGGGGCAGAACAGAAAAAATGCCAACGTCAGGAAACGCGGGATAAACCCAGACATTTTCAGCAGGTGGAGAGCTGTGCACATAGATTTTAAAGTAGCTCGAACAGACACTGTCTTAAGCAGTGCCAGGGGAGGTTCAGATCGGACATTCGGAAGGATTTCTTCACAGAAAGGATGATTAAATCCTGGAATGGGCAGCCCTGGGAGGTGGTGGAGTCACCCTCCCCGGAGGTGTTTAGGGTGGCACTCAGTGCTCTGCTCTGGGTGTGGATCCGTCACAGGTTGGACTCGATGACCTCAGAGGTCTTTCGAACCTATTGATTCCGTGAGCTATCCCTCAGTCTCTTTTCCCCATTTTACAGCTGCGATTCCCAAACTCCCCGCGCTGCTCCGCGGGTATTTCCAGCCTGTGGCGGCCGGAGCGCGGTACCGAGCTGGCTGCCCGCCGCCGCCCCGGCAGAACGAGGTCACCCTGGAGGACTCGCCGCTCCCTCCCCACCTTTAAAAATAGCCGTGGACGGAAGGAGCCTCCCGGGGCCGGCCCTCCTCTCCCCGGCCCTCAGCGCCGCATCCCGCCGCGCTGACCTTCCCGGGCCCGGCCCCGCCGAGCGACCCCGGCCCCTCCGCGCCCGCCCCGTCCGGCCACGCTCCCCTCGCGGCGCCGCCGCCCGTACCGCGGGGTCGCGGGGCCGCCGCGGGCGGTGCAGCCCCTCAGCCCCCGCCGCCCCTCACCTGTCCCGGCCGCCGCCGCTGTTGGTGCCGCCGGGCCCCGCGCGCCTCCTTCCCCACGCCGCCATCTTGGAGACACTCGCCTCGCAAATGTCTCCGCCGGCGGCCCGCGGGCGCGCCGCGATGCCCGACGGAAGATGTAGTGCGTGGGGGCGGCGGCGGCCGTTGCTCGGGGTGGGGCTAAGCCCACGAAAGGACTACAAGTCCCACAATGCCTCGCGCCGCCGCACGGCCGCGGGGGGCTCTGGGGCGTGTAGTCCCGTGGACGGGGGCGGTGGGGCCGGGTGGGCTCCGCGGTGAGACCCCGGTGAGCCCCTCAGCCGCAGCCCCGTCACCGGTGGCGGAGCGGCTCCGCGGGGCTCGGCTCGGCCCGGCCCCGCCGCCCGGGACCTTCCAGCCGGTGGGAGGAGCGCGGCGGCGAGTCCCGGCCTGCCCCGCGGCCCCGCCGTGCGGAGATGCGGCTGCCCGGGGTGGGCGCCGCTAGGCAGCCTCAGCATCGCCTCCCGATCCCAAAAACCCGGGAGGTTCCTTCTCTGCAGGTCCCTAGGGATGGAGGATCCCCTGAGAGGCTGGGCGGTTTTGGGGTGAATTTCGCCCCTTTAATCAATATCAAAGAGGTGAACGGGAAGGCTCCCCCGCTGCATCTCTGAGGAGGAATAAATCACAGAATCAATCACTTAGGAAAAAACCTCAAGATGATCAAATCAATATAAAGTTTATAATCAAACGCTTCTCTAGAACTGCAATGTAGCTGTGGTACTGCCAGAGGTTTCCCAGCTGCTGTGGATCCATCAGGTTTTGTGGCGGGTGCTTCGATGGTTATCTCCGGGATGCCTGAGCCTCTGCAAGGCTCCCGGCCGGATTCCTCCCCGAAGTGGAGCCTTTTCATCAGGAATTTTAACTTTTCCCTTATCAAACAGCAGCTCCTTGCTCCGCACCCCCTCCTTTCTCGGAGCCCTCCTCCAGCCTGACAGCGCTGGCTCTGCATCCCCCGTTCCTAGAAAAAACCCTCATTTTGACAGCATTATTCCCAAGTGATGTGATGTGACTGAAGAGAACAAACCCCTGGCTGCCTCCACCTTCCCAGGCATCCCGAGGCTGCTCCTCCAGCCTGCAGGGCCCTCCCACACCGCTGTATTTTGGGGGGCAGCTGTTTTGGGGGAGGTAAACGCTGCATTCACAGGAACAAGGAGGTGTTTGGGAAGTGTGCCCAGCCCAGAACGTGCAGCAGTGCTGGGACAGGCCGGAGCATGGACTGTCTGGAATGTGGAATGTAAACAGAGCGTGTTACCAGCAACAGCCCAGCTACAGAGCCCAACTGCCTGTGCTGTCCCTGGGGAGCAGCAAACCCCACGCTCCTGCTGCAGCCCAGGGGCAGCTTGTCACACTGGATCAAATCATAACTGCTCTCCACACCAACCTTCCTGGCAATTTGAGTTATCCAAATTCTGGCCTCAGCCTCTGTAGCCTTCACACAGCACTGGGAAGTGACACAAATGCCCTGCTAGGATCCTGAGTGCTCAGGATGGCTCCGGGAGGGAAGTGCCTTGTGTCTCTCTGAGTCGGCTGCCTGTCCACCTTGCTCTGGACAAGCACAGCAACTGGATATTTAAATATTTTCATTCTCATATTTTCAGCTATGATTTGATCTTAAAGCAGTGGACATAAACACTGAGTGTCTGCTCATCTGCAGGACAACTCCCCAAGAGTGGCCTGAAATCCCAAGGAGGAATGATGAAGGTAAGCAGGGCTGGTTCAGCTGGCAAAGGAGAGGAACCAGTTGTGATCCTGCTCACCCTGAGCTCTGCAGTCATCACGAGGTCAGCCAGCCCTGTGACCTCAAATAAAACACAATTTCACCCCTTACCTACTGATTGTTTGCAGTGGGAGCAGGTGGTTCCCTCCAGCACAGCACAGCCACCGCAGCTCAGTTAAGCCACACTTTTATTGTATTGTATTCCATGCATTATGTTCATGTTTTATAGTACGACAGAGGGAGGGATCAAGATAAATGTTAAACATAAACAAGAGCAGAAAGGTCGTTTGTAACAGGTCCTGAGAAGGAAAGGCACATCGTAACCACTGAATCCAACAGAACGGAAACCTTGGACAGAGGAAGACAACGCTGGAGAGCGGATGAGAGAGGGGGTGTTTCAAGTTGGGGGCTGTGGGAGCAGGTTTGACAGCCACCTGCATTCCCCCACCCACCAGAGGTCCGTAGTTCAAATGGGTTTGGGGAGCTCAGTATTCAACCCAACCACTTCCACACTCCTGTTGCCCGGGGAGAGTCCAGGATCCCAAACTCCTCCAGGCTTAATCAGCACCAAGGGGCAGCACAGGACTCAAAACTGCTTTCTGCAGAGACCAGCTGGGAAAAGGCAGCTGGTGGGGAGGCAGGGAAGGGCTACCCAGCACCGAGGGACCCCGAGCCGGGTCCCAACAGCCGTGCAGGGTCACAGGAGCACCGTGGCCTGCAGCATCGCTGGTCACCTGTGGGTATTGCTATTCACTGGGATCCAGGAGGAGGAAAGGCTGGGACAGAGCATGGGCACAGCAGGGAAATGGTTGGCACAGACACTGGCACACGTCTCTGGCAGGTCAGGCGCCCGGGATGGGGGTTGTAGCACCTCAAAGGGAAGCAGCAGCAGCAGCAGAACCGATGCTGTGCCCGGTTTAAGGCAGCGATCGCTGCGGGGATCCAGCGCCGGGAAGCTCGAGGGTCCTGCCAGAGCAGCACTGGGCTCCAGAGCCAGGCTGGACATGGGAATCTGCCTGGACAGCGAGCACAGCACACCCTGCAGCGAGCTGACACAACAGGGAGCTGCTGCACACTGCACACAGTGGCAATGAGCGCAAAACCAAGACAGAGCTCAAACACCTCACCCAGCCCTGCTGTGGCAAAGACACAAGGGTCTTATCTTGGCTTCCAGGGCACAAAACAGCTCAGCTTCACCTTGGAATAAAGAGAAGGGATGGTTCAGTCATCACAGCAGTACCAGAGCCAGCCATGCTCCTGTAACTATGTGTTGAAGTGTGTTTTGCATGTTAAAGAGGGAACATTTAACAGTCCACATTTCTTCTTGAGCCCCTTTAGTTTGTTACCTGCCACCCTTTCCCAGTCCCTCAAAGCCACCCTAAAAGGTCACAGCCTGGGTGAAATAAGCAGCAGGAAGGCAGAAATGAAGCAGAGGCAGGGCTGAGCTTGAAGCCTTTCCTGAGCAGCACAAGGTGGAGGTGCCTCTGCCCCCTGGCACAGGTGGTGGGCACGGGCAGGTGTCTCACAGCCTGCAGTGTGCAGGGCAGGGATGGAGGCTGGGAGTTTTGGAAGCCTGAGAGGGCTGTGCTGTGCTGGTGATGGGCAGCCCAAAAGCACGGGCAGGCAGCAAGGGTTCCCCTTGAGCTGGTGGCCAGGGACAGCTCAAGCTGAAATCCTGGCACAGGGTCTCCATCTCTGGCCACCCCAACCAGGAGAGAAGATTTTGCATGAGTTTTTGCCTTTGCTGCCATGGATTTTGTGCTGGGCTCTGGGAAAGGGCTGAGCTGCCTCTCACCTAGGGCTTCAGTCACTCCGTGGCACAGATTGTAAACTTTAGTCCCTGCTGAGCTAAGCAAGGTCTGGGTTTGATCTCCAGGTGAGAGGCTCTCCATGTCCTGCCTGGCTGCAGCCCCCAGTGGCTGCTCAGGGCTGGGGGTGTTGAAAACATCTCCCTCACCACAGCCCTGCCTTGGCACACTACAAAATCCTGAGAGCTCAGTGTGAGATGCTCTGAGGTGTAGCTCAAGCCCTGGAAAACGCAGGCAAGGCAGGACAGGCAGCAAGCTGGAACCTGGCAGTGCCCTGCCAGCATGGTGCTACCCCTACATCTAAGCATGGCAATGCTGGGTTGTGCTACAGAATCATCATCCACAGAGGTAAGAGCACGAAATGAGGGTGTTCCTGCTGCTGGCCAAGGTCCCCACGATGCTGCCAGTGCCCTGAGCTTGGAGCTGCGAGGAGGCCCTGAGCAGACAGGTAATGCCATGAGCCAGGGCTTCTTTCCAAAGGCTGTGAAGGAGAAGCCACTGGAATCCACGTGGATGCAGGTACCTGTAGCACTGAACCCTGGAGACGGGCCAGGAGCAGGTCCTGGAAGCCTCACCCTGCTGCTCTCAGGATGTCCTGATGGGCTGATCTGGGGCACTGACAGGGATGCAGAGATGGAGAAGAGGGAGATGGGGGAAGCCTTCCTCTTCAGCTGCAGGAAACCACCCTGGTGCCCTGGGATGTCCCTCACTGCTTGGGCCAAGGCTGGCTGTGGGGCTGGTCTCTTCTCCTGAGCAGGCTGTGTCCACACCAAGGGCAGGGAGACAGGAATGACAGTCCATGGCCCTCTGGGATGCCACTTCAGGGTTGTGTACAGAAGCTGGGCAGGAGCTGGCATCTCCAGGGAGCAGCATTGGCAACTCAGTCGCATTTCTTCCTCTGCACAGACTCTGCCACGGCCTCTGCAGTCCAAGTCCACTCCTCGCACGGCTCTTGTCTCTGGGCTCGAAGGTGTCGCCATCCCAGTGTCTCCACAGCCGGTGCAGCAAAGCCCCCGAGGTGCCACCACGGCCCACAAGTTCCTGTACGTGCTGCATGTGGGTTGGGCACGGCGTGGTGCCCACCAGGCGCTGACACCGGGCTGGGGCTCCTCCAGCACCTCCCTCTGTCCCACAAAGCTCAATCCACAACATCTCCCCAGCTGCCAGGAGGAAAGGGGGGCTGGTACCCCATGACCAGCCCTCACCAACATCCCCCAGCAAGTTCAGAGCTGTCAGCAGGCGGAGGGGAGAGGATGAGGTGCAGAACAAGTCATGCCCTGGCCTTGCGATGGAGTTAGGTGGAAAATTCACCCTCTTCTATCCCCTGGCTTGGCAAAAACACTGGTGGGCACCACGTGTGCCCAGGGGCTGCAGCCATGCTCAGACGTGGGCAGAGAGGAGGAGGTGGTGCCCACGCTCACGCCTACAAAAACCAGGAATTGCGAGTGTGGGAAGGGGTTTCCTGAGACTGCAGAGAAGCCAAGGCTGCCTGGAACAGTCAGGGCCAGGTGTGCTGGTGTGGGAGCAGTCCTGCCTTAAGGCTG